GGGGGGGGGGGGGGGGGGGGGGGGGGGGAGGGAGCTCTTGAGCAGAATGCAACAACGCCCTCCTCCTTTTTCTCCGACCTCTTTCTCCTCTTCCTCCTCCTCCTCTTCCTCCACCTCTTCCTCCTCCTCCTCCGCCTTGTCCTCCTCCTTCTCCTCTCTCGACCTCCTCCTCTTTCTAACTTTCTCCTCCTCCTCCTTGTCCTTCTCGTCTTTCGTCTCCTCTCTCCACCTCCTCTTTCTAGCTTTCTCCTCCTCCTCATCCTCCTCTTCCTCTTCTTAACTCTCTCGACCTCCTCCTCCTCCTGAACTCCTCTTTCGACCTTCCCCTCCTCCTCGTCCTCTTTCTAAGTACTCCTCTTTCGACCTCCTCCTTCTCCTCTTTGTCCTCCTCCTCCTCCTCTAACTCCTCTCTCGACCTCCTCCTCCTCCTCCTCCTCCTCTCTGGACCTCCTCCTGTTTGTCCTCCTCTTTCAACCTCCTCTTTTCTCCTCCTCCTCCTCCTCCTCCTCCTCGCTCCTCCTCCCTCCTCCTCCCTCCTCCTCCCTCCTCTATCTCCCTCCTCTCCTCCTCTTTTCTCCAACCTTCTGCAGAGGCATCACCATCGCGGCTTCGTGATCGTCTCCCTCTTTTTTTCCCTCCCCTTTTCTAAAAATAGATTAAATCCCTGTATGAAGTATGTTGATTACACCATTCTGTTTTTTTTTTTTTTTTTTTTTTGACCCACCCCATAATTTGCAGACGCCGCTCAAGTCAAACCATCTTCTCCGCTGGAGAAAAATCCTTGCTGGGCTTGCTTGTTTTCAACCCTTCGTGGGGGTTATTATATACGAAGAGTTGAACACCCCCCCATTCTGTCTGTACCGAACCAGAAAGTTGGCTTGTATACATTCATTATCAGGGTGCGTTGCGTCCCGGTTCGAACCCTTTTTACCGGGTTCGAAGAAAGCTGACTGATAGTTTTTGACAGAGCACTAGCGTCTTCACCGGGAACGCAATGCACCCTGATGATGAACGTATACAAGCCAACTTTCCGGTTCGGTACAGACAGAAAATTGGGGTGCGTTGTGTTCGGGGGAATTGAACACACCCACACCCGCTAGGCATTTTAAAAAAGGAAATTTCCCTCCGCCGTACTGTTTTTCTAAATGAGAAAACCGAAAAAAAAGAAAAGAAAATACTCCCTGCATCATCATCATCATCATCATCATCATTATTTTCTTGAAATTCAATCCATCACATGAATTTTAGTTGTGGCTAGATGGCTAATAAAGCCCGCCACGTTTTGGGGGTATAACATGAGGGAAAAAGGGGGGACG